TTCTGCATTGCACCCGCCTGAGGCGGCATGCAAGCATAGCAGCGGTAGAAACAAGTTCTCCGAGTTTCACGGCTAACTACAATGCCCACCGTAAGCAAGGTCCAGAACGGCACCTGGTTACTTGCAACTGTCCGCATAAGCTTACGAAGCCAATGTCTGGTGGGCTCAGCAAAGGTCGATCACCCATGGCGCAACCCTCAGAGGCTCTCTCGCAACTTAGCCTGCATCATGCTCAGTCGAATTTTGTTTTGGGATTGGGGTCTGGGAAGTCTGGAGAGCGTGGTTTGTTTGAATAATGAGAATTGCATTTCCGGGCACCATATTTTACATCACCAGCTAGATGAGAGACTATCTTGCAGTTTGGAGGGAATGACATTGCTGAGTACGAAGTTAGGCCGGCTCTGCTCTGTAAACCCAAGTGCTTTCAAGCGTGTTGGACCACGGCGGAACCTGCAAATGTAGTGTCTTCTTGAGAAGGCACCCTGTGCCCTATAGATTTGACAGGGGCCTGCAAGTCTCAGCGCAAATCCAACAGACTCCAACTCACAGCCAGAAACAAACCCCCCTCAGCCCTAAACCTGAAGCAGCAGCATCAGAAACAAGGTCCTCTCCCCAATAATATTGAGCACCCCCAAACCCTCAAGTACTAACTAAGCATTCCCTGCACGCGACCTCATATTCCGTGGACACGTTTAGAATGAAGGGGATGGGGAGGTAGTTGTGTTAGGGGGCAAGACAAAAACTCCCTGAGCTTGGAAAGTTTACATGCAAAACTCCGCACAGCTTGAGCGTGAAATGGCCAATGACTATGAATTGTCGAGCCCAGTGAACTGTTTGCTTTCTGCCGCTAGGAGGTCTTCAAGACATGAAACTCCAATAGCGACCCGCCGCGGGAAGCCTGTTGGCCTGAACACTGAACATTAAACGGTTTACCCTAAGACCTAAGCCCTAAATCTAAATGCTTGATCCATACATCTTCCATGGTACTGCCTCTTGCAGCGTTATAGATGGCGATAGCCAAGCCAGTCAATCGGTGGCTCATAGTTGTGCCTTACATGAGCTTAGGTCATGGACACGCAGCAAAAAGCTCCCAGTGCACGCTAACATGCCCTTGAACTGGCCTGAGTTCACAATTCACACGCCCCTGTTAGGCTCTCAGCAGTCCTGCTGGAACCCATCCTCCCAAACTTCAAACTGTAGCGACCCTCGTCGTAAGGACCAGAAGTTGGAGAAACTTCCAAGCGGCGGCCACTGGACGTCGACTATGGGATGGTATGCGCTGATGAGAAGGTTCAAAGTCAAGGCCATAAAGCATACATTGAGTGTCAGTGGTAGCACTACCAGTAGTGGCGGCAGCAGCATAGAAGGCCGCACGCGAACTCAGAGCAACCACCGGGCAGTCATCACCGCATCGACAACGGTAATGCGGCCCAGAGGCTTCTCCATGAAGTCCAGAAGAGCTCTGACCTTAAGACAACAAGGAGCCTAGAGCCTTCTGAAACGGGGCACCAAGAGAACCCAGCTCATGGACAAGGTGCGTCTACCCGACCAAGCTCGTAACTCGTGCCCTCAAAATGATATTCACGAACACCACACACTTTAACTCCTGAAGCCTGACCGTTGCCATCCTTGAGTCTCAGCTTACATGTATGCCCTGTTTATCGTACGCCCTCAGCCGACAACTGCTGACAACCCTGCATCCATGAATCCATAAGACGCTGGATTTCTACCAAAAAGATCACTCTCAGACCTTCACCCCAAAGCGCCGAAATGCCATCCCCGCAAGGTCAGACGCTCCCTCTCAAAACATAGGGAATGCAAAAGAATAACGGATCCAGCATTAATTAAGGGTTCCATTAGGTCACATCTGAGCTCGGGACCGGTCCGTCGCAGGGTTGGTTCTGCTCCGGTTGGGTATCGCTGTTTCTACAGCTTTCCTGTTGGGAGCGTCTTGTCACAGGGGTAGAGCCTTTCAAGGGGATTGAGGAAAGGGACCTCTCAAGAACAGGCCTGAGGGTCTCAAGCGCGCTTCTAAGCTTGAGGAAGGAGGCAAGATGCAGGGCGGTTTCTTCATTGCTCCGATCTGGAATCCCCCCCCGCCAATCGGGCACACATTTTCTCGAATTTCGCTCACAACTGGAATGCTAAGATATCCATTTTCGAGAATTTAATAGAACTCAAAATACTGGCAGATAATATCACGTCCTGTCCCGTTCCTCACTTCACCCCACCTTCTCCACTTCATGGGCCGACACAAGTTTTCGTGCGGTACAGGGTTCGGGGTTCGTGTTCATAGCTTGTGGACCAAGGGCTGACTATTGAGGTTGAGGGCTCACGTCCATGCGGAGGCCTTTGATGGTTCACGCTGGCAAGTCCTAAAGGGTTGGGCCTCATGCTAAAAGTTCTTCTGGCCAACTGTGAATGCAGCCTGTGGACTCTTGGTGAATGTGTGGTCAACACCCCTTCGGGGAGACGTGGCAATCCCCAAGACAAACACTAAGGGAGCGCAGAATAGCCTTGGTCTTGAGTATGGTGAGCGGATTATGTAAGTATCATGCGGCTGCCGTTTGACCTCCGGGCCTCCGAGTAGTGGCAGGTTAGGAAGAGGTCACGAGCGACCAGCCACTCACCGGCTTCCTCAGACTGCCAATTTGGAGGCTCCACAGGCATATAACGTGTCTGAACATGACGTGTCCGTGCCTGGGTCCTTATACTCGGTAGATATTTTGTTGAAGCTCATGCAAAGATATAAACCTTTAGAATCAAAATGGAACACAAGGTTGTTTGGCGAAATGCTTTGGGTATTGCCACGCTATCTACTTGCGAATCCACCTTCAAGCTGGTCCAAATGTCTACGTTGGCGACATGTATGGGGGATTTCACATCGGGAAAAAGAGCCGAAGGTTACCGAAGACAAGCTGTACGAATCTGATTCGCACATGATTGCTTGGAGTCATCTTCGGATCTGAGGGCCTGAGAAAGACAGGGCTGAGCTGCTTTGGCTGCACGTAAACCTTTGAGATGGCTTCTAATTCAGAGTCAGCTTCGTAGTTGCGGAAGCCTACGGCGAACCGCTCGAAGAATTCCTGCAGAAGGGGCAAGTACTGAGCTGCACCACCCTCAAACAATGAACTAGATTTTTCAGTTAGGGTTTGGGGTTTGCGATCCGCAGCGTTTCGTGGATGAAGTCTTGCGAAGTGGATACTTTCTACAAGGAGCCAAAGCTGCAAACAACCAAACATCTTGGTTGGGACGTGTAAATCACTGCAGCATCAACTCCAAAAATTTGACCCCCCCACCAACTTCCTGGGCACTTCTGGGGATCTGGCCGCCGTGGCAGCTTTTACAGTGCCTACCGGCAATACTTCTGACCATATCTACTGCTTGCACCACCTTTGCAGCAAATACAAAGCAAAAAGTCTAGGTAGAGAGCTGCTGACTGCATGGTGAAACACCGAGCCTCAACGGACCAGGAGCACCCAACATCAACCACTGCTCCCCTAGGCCTTGCATGTAACACTCCAAACCCCGCAGAATCTAAGCATCTTCGCTTGAAAGCAGTCCATCTCAACCATCCCCGTATTGTTCCAAAATGCCAAGCATGCAGCATTGAGCCCTGTTATCACCCTCTAAGCCATAAGCGGACGACTCCCCTGAACCCCTTAACCCTAAACTTCGGCCCCTATGCCCCAAACCCTGCTTCCAGCCTTGGAGTAGGGCTCTCGCATCACCACGAAGTCCGAGTGGCCGGCCAACGTCTCACTCAGGTTGAAGTCAGCGGTCCAAAGCCTTTGCATGTAGCGTCATGGGACTTAGTAAGTAGGCTTATAATGGAAAAGGAAACGGAAACCAGTATATACGTATGTCTATATATATATATGTATAATATTTAGGGTTTAGGGTTTAGGGTCATGAGGACTTCGGAAGCAGGGTTCATAATGTGGACAATTGGGGTTGCTATATTGCTTTTACTCGGTTATGAACCTACTGACTTAGTCCCCATGACCCTCCAAGCAGTGTTGGAGAGTTTTCCGGGGTACGGGGTACCGCAAAGCTGTACGGATTAGGACTAGGAGAGGTCACGATGTTTTGGATCCTTAAGTTCCTAAATTGTTAGAACAAGATTTCGGGGTCGTCCCACATTTGATAGGCAGTTAGTTCTTCCAAATGGGCTGAGCTTCTAATTGCCATGGCATATGCACCTACTGCTGAACAGCAAGTTGTGGGGAATGGAAAAACTAGGGGTATTTAAAATGATGGATCCAGTTTGTAAAGGCTTCAACGTTGGGAATTTGAGAGTTGGGAGCTTTTGTTTGGGGACCCCCTCGACCGTCTCTGGCTTTAGAATCCTTGCTGCCGGCGAACTCATTCTTGACTTTGTCCCGCATCTGTCTGACTTTGTATCTGTTGTAGACCTGCGCTGCGGTAGGAGCATCCACAACTGCTGCGGCAATTCGCGAGCACAGAAAATGTGACATGAACAAACCTTCTCACTGCCTGCTGGCAACCGACAGGTAGCATATAACCCTTAGTAGTTTCTAGTTTCCATGCTCTTTCCCATTATCCCTATATCACCCCTATATAACCCTATCCCTTAACCCTATCCCTTAACCCTAAACCCAAACCCTAAACACCTAAATGCAGCAAGGCATGGAGAAGCAGCTTCTGTCTGCGAGGCTGCCTTCGTGCAAAGCTGCCAGCGCTTCAGCGATGATGCAACTGTGACCATGTTGCCTACTAGTGTATATATACACATATTATATACCCCGTAATCCCTACAGAATACCTATATAACACCTATACTCCCTGTAGTTTCCATTTTCTTTTCCATCATCCCAATATAACTATAATCCCAGTATACCCCCAGCTATCTGAACCCTGATCTATTTTGTGGCGACATCTCCAACCAAGGCGAGGAATCCCTTTAGGTCAACAACCTTGAGCCCTTACCTCACATGAAAATAAGACCAGGCAACCACAAACATTACTACGGCACTGCGCTAAGATCCCAGAACTTCAGCCCGAAGCAGACTCATGGCCTTCTTTTTCCCCCGAAGCTTCGGCTTCACATGGATCCGTGTATGGTCCAGGTCAAGGGTGTAGAGCCGCAGGCACTTCTTGGAACCTGTGACAGTGGGGGGCAGCTGAGGAAACCGATTTATCTGACAAACGGCGGTAAAGAATTGCTTGCCCTTAACTTATAAACCTTCAACTTCCCCCTTTTGAAAAGTCATCCTGGTGTAGTAAATATCTATGAAGAGAGTTTATCTTCTGCGGCCTCAGAGCGTAATAGTAGCTCCTCTTAGAACCTATTTATCCCTAATTCAGTACTTCTGGATCTCGACGCCACCGCCCTCCTGTCTGTTTGGAGGTAATCGCTTCCCCCTAATAATAAACGACGTCCCCCCCCCTCCCCCGTAATAATAAATAATCCGGGGGGTCAGAATCTTTTTATTATTAGGGGGGCATATCTATTGAAAGGATTTAGTAGGGCCACCTTTAAAATCCTTTTAAAATCAATTAAAATCGAATCAAAATCCCGTTAGAGTCAATTGAGATTTAATCAAAATTCCTTTTGAAATCAATTAGAGTCGAATCAAAATCCCGTTAGAATCAATTGAAATTTAATTAAAATTCCGTTTAAAATCAGCTGACATCGAATGAAATTCAATTGAGATTTACTTAAATGCGGCTAAAACTGTAATAAAATCATGTAAAGTCGTATTCAGTTGTTGTATATAGAATCCTTTATAAAAC